ACTCTGTATTCACAGAAATTATGAATCTATAGTATAGAAATTATGAATAAGAACCCTGTGCACCTTGCATGATGCACACGGTTGCACAACAATTTATGGCAAATTATGCTATGGACCTGTGTCCACCATGTGCATGGTGGACATGTTGTACATTCATAATTTTTATACTGTACATTCATAATTTCTATACTATAGATTCATAATTACTGATAAACATTATTTTTAGTATTATTTTTAATAATCTTTTTATAGTTAATTTGCAATAATTAATTCATTTTATATTTATTTTTATTTATTATTGTTATTAGTAACTTTGTAATATTATTCAATTTTAGGTTGTTTTAATTATTAAATTTGTTTTATTATTTGAATTATGTCAGTCCAATAATTCATTGATCTTAATTTAATAATAATAATATTAATTAGTTTTAGTAGTACATGATCAGTAGGAGTTTAATTAGTGTAGATTAGTTATATATGGTCTCTAATGAGTTTATTATTATTATTATTATTATTATTATTATTATTATTATTATTATTATTATTATTATTATTATTATTATTATTATTATTATTATTATTATATCTTTCTTCCCAATTATTATTTTATATCATAAGAAAGAGGATCGCAGACTTCTTCTCCGACAATGGTGATGGATGATCCGATTGAAGAGCAGGACATTGAATGGAAGAAAATTTCCCATGGCTTCCCCTTAATCTTAGGCAAATTGTGTAGCTTCTTGGCTGGATGATTGAAGAAGAAGGAGAGGCTGTTGGGATTGAAGCAATATAAATAGAGGAGAATTTATGCAAGAGATCATCAATTCACCCCAGAGATTTCCGGTGGTTCGCGTAATTTCGATCGGCAATTCTGGGCGTGGCAACTTCTTTGTCGCAGCAATCTCCGTTCAACACATCATTAGCAATTTCTGATTCTTTCTTTAAGTTTCCTCCTTAATTTGGATTTGTTGGTTTCTTCCTAGTGGTTAGCAGCAAGCAATATTGTTATTCTTCTTTTAATTCCCTTTCTTTCAATTTCAATTTGTTGGCCGTACCTTTAATTTGGCACATTGTTTTCCGAGTTTTTCCCTTTCTATTCAATTCGTACTGTTTTTGTTCCTCTTCAATTCTTACTGCTAAATTTCGCAAAGACTCTATTAAATTGCTACTTTTGTTTAATTCTTTAATTCCTAAATTGTGAGCACACTATTCAGTTCTTAAACACCGTGCTAATTCTTTAATTACTTTGTTTTCTATAATTATTATTATTAATTTGTTTTGTGATTAATGAAGCTTTCTGATTTAATTTTTGCAAGTTTGATAACAATGCACTGTATAATGATTTGTTCTTTGGGGATTGGATTACTGCAATTGATTATGATGTCAAGTATTGCTCTGAGCTGCTCTTAGTTTTGAACTGTCGAATTGTTTTGCTTATTCATATTTACTTTTAATGGTTGATTTAAAAATGTTTTGTTAATTTATTTACTTAGCTTCTTTTAATTTCAACTTAATTATCTTACACTTGAGTTTATTCTTATCTTTGGTATCCGTTTTTAACTCTTTAAATTATCTAAGTTAATTAATTTTAAGATTATAAATTGCATATTATCAATTCCTCTTGGGTTCGACCCTTGCCTTTGCACACTACCACTACACTGACTCGTGCACTTGCAAGGACATATATTAAAATTGTCCATCAATTACTAAACTGTAAATTCATAAAATTTATAACGTAGATTCATAATTTCTATACTGCACGTTCATAATTTCTGTAATGTAGATTCATAATTTCTAAATTGTATAGTTATCAAATTATGAACACATAGTTATTAAATTATGAATCTACCGTACAGAAATTATGAATGTGCAGTATAGAAATTATGAATCAACATTATAAATTTTATGAATCTACAGTATAAAAATTATGAATCTACAGTATAGAAATTATGAATCTACAGTACAGAAATTATGAATGTGCAGTATAGAAATTATGAATCTACAGTACAGAAATTATGAATGTGCAATATAGAAATTATGAATCTATAGTATAAAAATTATGAATCTACAGTATAGAAATTATGAATCTACAGTATAGAAACTATGAATGTACAGCGTGTCCACAATGCACATAGTGGACATGGGTCCAGGACATAACACTCCCAGCATAACATTCCCCCTGGCACCCTCTGTCGACCTTATAATTCGGTTAACTGATACTTTATAACCAAACTATCAATAATAAAAATCTTTAAAAAATTTTAACCATTAACCGAACTGAAATATTTTGATTAAAAAATATTAACTAAAATTCTTTAGTTCCATTATTTAACAAATTTTTACCGAATTATGCACACTCTTAAAGAAATATTTAAATATAATAAGATTTTATTTATACAAAAATGTGTGGAATAATTAAATAATTAATCTTTTCAATTATTTGTGAAGTATATTTCTTGTAATGATTAATTCTAAACCACTTGGTTTTGACAAATATATATATATATATATATATATATATATATATATATATATATATATATATATATATAGTCCGGTTCGTGTGAGAACCACTACTTATGTGTGAACATGTGAATTTGTGTATCATTATGCACCGTTAATTTTGCTTGATTTCATGATTTATAATGATTTTGATGTGGTAAATATACATCACTGCACCATTATACCACTACAAAACTTGAAATATTAGCCAAGACTTGTATATAGTCTTAAATTAAAATTAAATAATATTAATACTAATGATTTTTTTTAAAATAATAATAGTGATATATTAATGAATGAACTGAACAATAGAGTCAGGTGGGACCGAGTCTCAGTACATAGGTACATAGGTTGTTCATGATCAAAAGGTAACGAAGCTAAAGTATGAGCATGTAAGTTCAGTGTTCTGGAAATATAGCTTAATGAGCAATGAGTAAATAATGATATAGTTGTCCTACATTGATCTACAATGACCCCAACATAGGAGAAAATAGCCGTTGAGTTTGAGTATTATGCATTCCGTAACTCTGAGCAGTCCGTTAAAAGATCTACCATCAGGACATCCCGTTCCTTGAGCCAAGATAGGGTCTCTTTGCAAGCGAGTGCCTCCGCCATAACGGGCGAGAAAGCACCCGATAGCTTTCCATTTGTCGCTGCTATAAAGGTGCCTTGATGAGAGAGTAGCATCGCCCCATATGTAGCCTCTCCGGTGGTGCATTTGTAGCCGGTGTCGATGTAGCATTTTGGCCTCTCGTTTCCATTTGCCGTAACAGCCTCGGCATTTACCGGACGAAGAGCAGGATGGTGCACCTGCCGATAGGCCTGCATGGCTGCTGCCACACATCGCCAGACCTACTGAGGTCACGGGAGGGCTCATTCCCATACAGCAGCGTTGCGGGCATTCCATATGCAGTACAGCACAGCCACGGCCAGCCCACACTGTTCTTCTGTTAAGACATTGAAATCCCCCATCAGCCATGTTGATAATGAATGTGCCACAACATTTGTAACAAAAAATTATGAAATATTCCAAATCATTTAAGAATAATCCCATAAAACTAATGTATGCATAGCATTCTCATGAACAATTCCACACATTGGGCATGCAGGATTCACTTCCACTCTCTTTATTATCAAATTATTTGTAGTGGGAAGAATATCACAAATAGTTCTCCACAATAGTCTTACGCTTGGGTGGAACTCTCAATTTCCACAATGTAACCCATCTATCAAAAGTCTCTGGGTTATGCTCAAAGTCTCCTAAGAATTTTCCTATAAGCATTCTTGACCGTATAAACCTCCACTTCTCCTCAGGAATAAATAAATCAAATAATATATGGGGATCACAGGTATTGGTTTGTTGGTAAATTAAACCAGCCACTTGGGCACATCTCAATTCCTCAGGCATAATTGTTTGGATCAGTGGATTGGGATTATCCGGTAACCAGGGATGCCCCCAGACAAAAGTCGTTCTGCCATTGCCAATCCTCCTTCGTACCCCTGAGCAAACCATTCCATGCGCAGCCATTATACTCCTCCAACAAAAACTTGGGCAGTTTCCTATAGTTGCATCAATAAATGTAGTATTAGGATAATAACGAGCTTTGTATATCCTTGCAGCTAAAGTAGTGTGATTTGTAAGGAAACGCCAGGCCTGTTTCCCTAGCATAGCCAAATTAAATGCCCGTAAATCTTTGAACCCCAAGCCACCAAAATTTTTAGGGATGCATAACTTGTCCCAAGCCTTCCAGTGTATTCCCCTTTCTGTTCCACTTCCCCACCAATACCTATTCATGGTTCTCTCAATAGACAAGCAAACAGTCTCAGGTAGCAAAAAAACACTCATGGAAAATGTAGGCATAGATTGAGCCACACTTTTCAAGAGCACTTCCCTACCAGCTTGGGAGAGTAATTTTTTATTCCATGAACCAATTCTCTGCCTGGTTTTGTCCTCCACATACGCAAAAACAACCCTTTTATTGATGCTTACAAAAGACGGTAGGCCAAGATATTTCCCAAAATTGGTTGCCTGTTCTACCTCGAGACAGGGCGCCACCTCCTCCCTTATCGCCATCTGGGTATTTCTGCTAAAACAAATGCTAGATTTATTAAAATTCACCAATTGGCCAGATAACTTCTCATACCTTATCAGGCACTGTTTGATTACACTGGCCTCCTGGATATTCACCTTGATGAACATGTGACTGTCATATGCGAAAAATAGGTGTGATACCAGAGGTGCTCCTCTAACCACTCTACAGCCATGTATAGCGACCACCTTCTATGCTTTATGTAATAGTATAGAAAGTCTCTCTACACAAATAATAAATAAATAGGGAGATAGAGGGTCTCCTTGCAGTCCGCGAGTGGGTGTTACCTGCCCCCCGCCACGCCATTCACCATTATTGTTAATACTAATAATGTAAGTGACCAAAATTCTTAAATCCTAATCAACATTAGAATCCCTATTCCCTAATCCCTAACCCCCTCTTCTGAAATGGCAGATTAAGAGGCTAGAGAAATATAATCTGAGATGGCAAAGGCGGGCATAGTTGCGCTTCTTTTCACGGTTCTGTTCGCCGCCACTCCTCCGGCAGGGCTCGGTGTTTCTTTCAGGCCGAAGGCGGTGCACCAGTAGTTCAAGCAGCTCCCCTATGCGAAAGAAAAGATCACAAAGCTCCATTTCTACTATCACGACATAGTCTCCGGCAAAAACCCAACGGCCTACCAAATTGCTCAGTCCAATTTCACCGCCAAATCGCCGACAGGCTTCGGAGCTCTCTCTGTAATGGATGACCTTTTGACGGAAACCCGCCGTTGTTGGCCATGGTCAGGGAACCTACGGTTTCGCCGCACTCGATGAGGTTGGGTTGCTCATGACGCTCAACTTCTTCTTCACGCAGGGAGAGTATAACGGTAGCACTCTCATCGACTCCTCGATCGGAACCCCTATTTTAATAAGTACCGTAAGATGCCCATCGTCGGCGGCACGGGTGTTTGGCTGGCGCGAGGCATAGCCACAACGCAAACTAATTATTTCCCTCTCCTGAACTTACTTGCTGATATGTACCTCACTGACCAAACCCTAGATGTTACCAGTAAGGAGTGATCGTCGTTCTTGTCGATTACTCTGATTCATCGTCCGGCTACAGGAATTCCGAGTCTCAGTAAGACTTCTCTCTTCATCAGGAATGAAAATGATAATATGTTCCATTGATTTTCATACTTCAATTTGTTCGTACATGCACATTTTTCTAGTTCGCATATTTCTTCTCATGCACCCTTCACTGGAATTAGAAAGTCTTTTGCCTCTACTTCTTAACATTGTTGATAGGTCTTCCTCTGGAAATGCTAACAAACAAGAATTGATGCATCCTGAGTCACCATCATGTGCTAGTGGAATCTCTGGTAATTTGTGGTTTGTTTTCGTGGAATGGCGGGGCATATTTGTTTTATCCATATAATTTCTTGAAATATAGCAAATGTGTGGTTTTTCTGTACTGAGTTTTGCTTTGCTTGGATAAAGATTTTGTCTTTTAATTTATTTATTTATTTATTATTACTATTTTTTAATTGTAGTGGCTATGGCGACCCTATCACCAGCAGTGTAATGATTGTATAACATTGTAGTTTGGATTATACTGAAAAGTGTTTAGTATGGTTCTTCATAGAGGGAGATTATATTTGTCCTATAAGCATATTGAGGAATGAATTTATAACCTTGTTGTACTTTGGTACAATTGGTGTTTAGAGTCTTAAATTGTTATAAATTAACTCTGATCTGAAAGATCTTTAAATTTTAATTTTGATATAAAAATATTGGTTTTATAGTATCTAGTTGCATATAACAGCTAATCAGCAATAAGCAAACTATAAATAAAACTAGGAAAAATTGTAAAAAATGCCCCTCTGTAATATGCCAATTATCAATGTCACCCCTGAATTATGAGTGGTGTAAATGCTGCTCCTCAATTGTCAAAATGGTGCACATATAGCCCCTCCTGTAACGGACATGTGGTTCCCTACCGCTGTCCACCGCTGGTACTTCGAATCGAGGGAGGCAAAAAATAACTAAATTACATATTTACTCCGACTTAACGGTGTCGTACACTAATGGAGAACCACATGTCCGTTACGGAAGAGGCTATATATGCACCGTTTTGATAATTGAGGGGCAACATTTACACCACTCATAATTCAGGGTGACATTGATAATTGGCATATTATAGAGGGACATTTTTTACAATTTTCTCATAAAACTATAGTTATCGTTTTATAGTATTTAGTTGCATTTAACAGCTAATCAGCAATGGGGAAACTATAAGGGGATGTTTGGTTCATGGAAAATGTTATGGGGAAATTATAAGGGGATGTTTGGTTCAAGGAAAACATTTTCCTTGAAGTGAAGGAAAATGTTGTTTTCTAGTGTTTGGTTCATGGAATTCATTTTTCATTGGAAAATGAATTCCTCAAATTTGAGGAAAACAAAATCCTTGGTTGGACCAAGGATTTTGTTTTCTATGGAAGATGGGAAGAAAAAGTGAATAGATTACCTATTTTACCCTTACTTTCTTTTTTAATTATATTACTTTTATTAATTTGTAGGGGCATATAGGTCTTTATACTTATTATTCCTTACAATTCTAAATCTAACCAAATAATAAAATTAGTATTCCCAGTAATTCTTTTTCCACCAACCAAACAATGAAATTCATCTTCCTAGTAATTGTTTTTCCATGGAATTCCAATTCCATTTCCCTTAAAATATTTTCTGCGAATCAAACGAGCCCTAAGTAAAACTATAGTTATCGTGTTAATGCATATATATTTAAAGTATGGGACACAAATGAAGGATGAAGAATGGATAATCTGATGCAATGATCCTTTTAATGTGCGAGAGCTTTCTAACATTATTTTTAGTAATGTAGTTGGGATTATCTCTTCCAGGAACTAATTCTCATTGAAGAAAATTCGGGATGTTAGCATATTTCAGAAACTTCTGCTATTTGATGTTTCATTTAATGAAATTACAGCCACAGAATCCTACAGTATCCTCTTAGGATCTTGGAAGTAGTGTTTCAGAGCCATCATTGATCACAGACGATGCACTGGACAAGTACTGAATTATTTTGGAGAATGTTAAGTAAGCTTTCTACCATTTTCTTTTCTTACATGTGTTTCCTGTTACAGGAACGTTAAAATTGCTTTTACCTTTTCTCTTCTATTTAATTTGATCATCTCCAATATATCATTTTATCTATATATTAATATAATTCTTAGAATTAGGTAACTCCTTGCCTGCAATTAGTATCAATTCTGATCATCCTGCAATTGGTGTGTCTTAACTATTTCATGCTTTGAGTCTGAAATCTCTTCTTGCTGAGAATCTGATCCCAAAGCTTGAGATACAGTCCACCGCATTAGCCATTCCTACACAGAATTTGGCTCATCTGGACCATATTGAATTTGCAGAGGCATTGTAGTAGGCAAAGAAGAGAGTAACTGAAAAGACAGAATATTAAGCATCAGAGTGCTATAGCAACATTCAAATGAAAATGCAAATCAATCATGTATAACTATTCAACGCCAAGGTAAATTCTATTGTTGTGAAGTATGACTTTAAATAAGTATACACTATCAAAAATTAGAGAACCATTTTTCCTAGTCATTTATTTACAAATGAACTAATTCTTTTTTCTAGTCATGATTTATATGCAAACCATTTTCTTGTTTTTACAACAGAAAACTTATGATACGTATCTGCTTTTGCACCAAAAATTTTAAACTTGTAAGCATTTAAAATATCTGGACCAAATCCAATGGCAGATATGCATATGTGATCTGTGGGTTGATTGGATTGTTGCGAGAGGAGTAGAGAAACGACGTAACTCCTTCAGTTTGTATGACTCTGGCTTCTGCAGGTTCACTGATATTGATTTTATTGAATATGTTCATATGTATATTTCTTTTGAGAGTGTGTGTATGAAGTTATATAGAGTAGGAATGCATTTGATTAGAACTTTGAGAACAACATTAGATTTAGTGATTGGAATTTTGTTCATTGTATTTTCAAGTAGATGTTGAATTCTTGTGTAATTTGAAATACTTCACATACTTGTTGAAGATGATTATACTAATGAATTGATGCTTTAGTATTATGGTTTTTGGATAAATTGATTTTGTTATATTATGCTTAAAATAAAAAACAGATCAAAAATAACGATTTTAAACCGTTGTTTATAAATGTGCGAACAATGGTTTTTAACCGATGTCTTTGATATATAAGACAACAGTTTCAGTTAAAAACTGTTGTCAATCGGGGTGACTTTCAACAATGCATGTTTTAACAACACACAATAAACAACGATTTTTAACTGTTGTCTTATATAGAAAAGACAACGGTTAAAAACTGTTGTCTATGCTTGTGACTTTCAACAACACTGGTTTCAACAGCACTCAATAGATAACGATTTTTAAGCGTTGTCGTTTCTAGAAAAGACAACAGTTAAAAACCGTTGTCTATGTGCATAATTTTCAAAAACACTCAATAGACAACGGTTAAAAACCGTTGTCTATCTACATGACTTTTAACAACACCGGTTTCAACAACATTCAATAGACAACGATTTTTAACCCTTGTCTTTTCTATAAAAGACAACGGTTAAAAACCGTTGCCTATATGTGTGACTTTTAACAATACCGGTTTCAACAACACTCAATAGACAACGGTTCAAAAACCGTTGTGTTTTTTAGAAAAGACAACGGTTAAAACCCATTGTCTATGAACGTTACTTTTAGCAACACCGGTTTCAACAACACTCAATAGACAACGGTTTAAAAACCGTTGTCTTTTCTAGAAAAGACAATGGTTAAAAACCGTTGTCTATGTGCCTGAGTTTTAACAACACCGGTTTCAACAACACTTAATAGACAACGGTTCAAAAACCGTTGTTGTTTCTAGAAAAGACAACGGTTAAAAATAGTTGACTATGCACGAGACTTACAACAACATTGGCTTTAATAATAGAAATTTTATCCCTACGACAACGGTGAAAAACCGTTCTCTATGTGTATTTTTCTTGTAGTGGATCATTGAAAACATCAGTATATTGTTTTTATTTTATTATTAAGTATATTGTTATTTACAATTCATTATATATGTTAATATTTAAATAACATTACTTAACATAAGTCATATCCGTGCATCGCACAGGTACAATACTAGTTGTACCCAATAACGAATTGAGTCCCAAATCCTCTATACAACCCGGGAATGCCCTCATGCCTCAGCGTAGCACAGAGAATGCATTTGTGATCAGTATTGTAAAAATTTCAGTTGTAGATAGTTTTTAGTTGACTGGCCAATTAACCTGCTGACTAGGCCCCCTAGGCCCCGAGTTGGGCGCCTAACTCAGCCTAGCTGGGGCCCAACTAAGTTAAGTCGGCATTCAACTCGGCGGAGTGGTATTTTTTTGCCTACTCGATTGCTCTTTTTCTATATTTCTCCAGCCATGTAATCAAATAACCATCTAATAACTCATAGCCCTGAGTGAAAAAAATGGAGACGATATACTCGAATTACTCAACCGCCTAGAAAGTGCCCCCGGACACCCGACTAGCGTCTGTTGCAACATTGGTTGTGATAGAGGAAAGACAGCAGCACTCAACATATAGATGCAGCTTGCTGCTTGGTTTTCAACAATATTGTAGGTTGTTATATGGTCAAACTAACCATTTAGATTTCTGACTTACCAGTCACAGCGGCGAGTTTTACCGTCTAACCCTGTATATTGAAAGGAAATTCATCCAACTTACTGTCCATTATTTATGCTTCATCAGCTATTGCTATGTTGCCTTGAGTCCGTGCCAACAATTCCTCCAACTGCACAGTTTTTTGCTCTTGGTGGAACTAACCCGTGACCTGCATGTTAAAATCAAACGCTTACACTACGCCAAAAGGTATATCTAGTTTCGCTAAAAAAAAAAGAAGTTAAATCTAATAACGAATGTGTAACTTTATTTTCTTATAGAGCACCATCACATTTTCGAGAGGTAGGGTATCGGACTTTGCCCACCCAACAATTTCTCTAGTCATGAATTGATGGACTTGATCCTTTACCGGCCTCGCCCAAGCTGAAGGATAAGAGTGTTAGACCCCATTGAATTACTTGTTGTGCTCATAGCTAGCTAGGATGATCATTTCATAATATTCTCCTAGCTAGCTTGTGATCTTATTTGTGCTGCGCTAGACGGTTGTTGTTATCTGCAGATATATATATATATATATATATATATATATATATATATATATATATATATATATATAAGGAAGGGATCAGGTGCATTTGTGACTTCCCGTGCGGTTTATTAATGTGCGTGAGTTTTATACTTAATGTGCGTGAGTCTTGTGCTTAATGTGCATGAGATTTGTACTTAATGTGCATGAGTGTGTAATTTTAATGTGCGTGATTTTTGTACTTAATGTATCTGAGTATTGTGCTTAATGTGCGTGAGGTTTGTGCTTAATGTGCGTGAGTTTTAACACAATCGCACAAGAAGCTATAAACAAAATACATTCAGACCACAAACTCATACCTCACGCTAACGGAAGCGATGAAGAACAGAGAGAGGGGAAGAGAGGATTAAGGGTAAAGAGGAAAACTGTTTTATTACGAAGACGTATATGATGAAGAACAGAGAGAGGGGAAGAGAGGATTAAGGGAATAGGAAGAGAAGACGAAGACGTATATGATGAAGAACAGAGAGAGGAAGAGAGGATTAAGGGAAAAGAGGAGAAGAGAAGACGAAGGCAAAAACGTATATGTACAAGAGCAACAGGAGCACATTAAACATTACACACTCACGCACATTAAGCACACAACTCACGCACCTTAGGCACAAGACTCACACACCTTAAGTACAAAACTCACGCACATTAACATTACACACTCACGCACTTTAAGTACAAATCTCAGGCACATTAAGCACAAGACTCACACACATTGAGTACAAAAATCATGCACATTAATCAACCGCACTGGAACCTTTCACTATATATATATATATATATATATATATATATATATATATATATATATATATATATATATATATGATGGATATATTGGACCCGGAACGAACCGACCCGGAAGAGACGGACCCGAGAATCACCTCGGCCCAGTCAAGTGGGCCGTGGCCGAGTCGGCCCAAGGTATCTCGGCCTTGGGCCGAGTCCGGCCACGGGTGGGCTCGGTACACCCGAGCCCACCACCATGGACCCGGGCACTACCGGGCGGGTCCATGGTGGATTCATGGACTCGGCTAGGCCGAGCTCAGCAGCTCGGCCATGCCGAGTTGCCCGCCTTGGACCCGGTCCCGGGGGGACGCGGTCAAGGCGGGCCGATCCAACTAACCCCGATTCTAGGGGTCCGGTTGGGGAGTTTGAGCTGATATAAAAGGACTCCCTCTTGTCCTAACAAAGGACCAGAACATTACCCAACACAATAGATTCCTAAATTGCTATCTCCTAGCCTTATTGTCCTAACCAAGCCTTGTAATAGCTTATTAGCAATAATTAATACGATATACGGTCCCTGCGACCTACGGTCCCCGTGACCTTATTATATCTCTGTGTCACATTATTTATTTCGTACGTATATTTATCCGGGTTTAATAATTCGGGCTACCCCCGGGGAATTAAATCCATCATTGGTGCTCTTGTTGAGAGCTGCTGTATAAGCTTAAGCGCTCTCCCCATTATTGTTCATTGACAGCGATGACGAGATCGAGATCCAACTCTCTCCACACCAACGGTTCCCGCGGCACCCAGCTCGTCGCAAACGGGAACGTCCCCAACAGGGCCCCCAGCGTCCAATCGGCCGCCTCCAACAGGTCGGGAGGAGACCTGAGGGCCCAGCTCACCAACCACCGCAGCAGTGGTGCACCACCCCCCATGGCTCCCGCTGCTACGGCTCCCGCTACCGCTCCAACTCGCGCCCTCATCCAGGAGGGGGTGGCGGTCTTCGAACAAGCCTCCACGGCACTGGCCCGTGTTGCGGCGGGCCTCCGGGCAGAGGAACAAGCCGACCTAGGCGCCACCTAAGGGGGCGTGCCGCCGAGCGCCATACCGCCTCCACCTCTCTCCCGGGGGCGCAGCGGGCCGAGCGCCGTGCCACCTCCGGCACGGGCCACACAAGGAGAAGTCAACTCCCCCCGCCCGACGGACAGACGAGGAGGAGGGAGCTCCCGCCGAGACCGTCAGCACGGTGATGATGGAAGGGCCCCAACCCAAACCAGGCCCGCCCTGGAACGGTTGGGCGAGCGCGTGTCGGCACGGGACAGGTTGGGTCTGAGGCCGGCCGCCAATGACCCACCAGCGGCCGAATCGTGCTCCCGCAGGCCGCCACGACGAGCGGCGGGCACTCGGAGGTCGCCAAGTCACGGACCCCGAGCCCGACCGCCACAGGAGGCGGGCTCGCGTAGATCCCCAGACCGTGAGACCCGAGCTCCCCCGCGACGCGGACAGCCCACCCGAGTGGAGCGAACAGGTGAGACAAATGGCCGAGTCCCGAGCTCCAACCGGGACGAGGCCGAGCAGTTACGGAGAAGGATGAACGAGCTCCAGAAGAAGTTCGATGAAAGGGACGGGTCCTCAGAGTCCAATGACATACTGTCCACCCCATTCGTGAGTTCTATCATGGAGGAACCCCTGCCCAAGGATTTCCGTTTCCCCACCGTCAAAGCGTACTCGGGAACCACAGACCTGCGGTCGCACCTCACCAGGTACAGGGCCGCCATGATGATTACCGAGGCTACCGACGCCATCCTATGCAGGGGATTCTTTGCCACTCTGGACGGACAGGCACATGACTGGTTTGGGTCCCTCCCAGGGAGATCCATCTCCACCTTCAAGGACCTAACCAAGCAGTTCCTGTCCCACTTCGCCACCAGCATACCAAGGAAGAAGCAGATTGCCGACCTGTGCGACCTGAAACAGAAGAGCTCGGAGTCATTAGCCGAG